TTTTATACAACAAAACGTTTCACTAAAGAGAGATCAACATACATTTCAGCACATATTTCTAACAATAAGTGTAAAGAAAAGTTTGTCCACCCCAGATATAAAGTTCATCAGGATTTCATTTCTATTGCTTGGTGTTTCTACAAATATAACCAGTTAGTATTTTATCGCAAAACCTTAAAAATCCATCTTAACACCTATATCTTACACATAACATAACACCAAAAACAATCAGTTCTTTAAGCATAGATTCATCTATAGTACCTTTTATCTATAAACAAATCCGGGTTGATTTATATTCTCTATTTTTCTGGTCCTTTTAAACCTTTTCCAGTTTATATAAACTGCAGTCAAATAACAAGCTTGAATTTCTTATTTCCTGTCTCTTATCTTTAAACTTATAATATTTCTCTTTTTCTTCTTCAAATATTTATCCAAAATTTATACCTTATATTTCTATTGTCCTACTCTAATCATATCCCGGTACAGTATTTAATCATAACCTAGTAAACCAAGAGAATATACCAAAATAAACAGTTATTTCCTGTTTTTCTTTTCCCTCTATGTCTTTCTATCTCATTTGTCTTCTTATACATTATATATAACCTCCTGTTCAAAAGTCTTTCTACCGTCAATCTCATTCCTGCCTGTTATTTCTTATTGTTAATTACTTTGAAATTATTTACATTTAAATAATTAATCTCATTTTAATTATTTAATCACATTTTACCACCCTCTACTAATTATGTTAACAATACAATACAAGTGCAAATAATATTTAGAAGATATCTTTAAGCTATAAAGAAAAAAAACAAAAAACAAGAATCAATTAATTCCATTTCCATTTTAGCCATCCTTTCTTACATTTATCAATTTGGGCAATTATTCTACCATTTAATAGGCATTGCCAATTCTGCCATTAGTACACATCACCTATGTCTAATCATTTCGTGTAGTTTATAAAAGATATAAAAAAGTTGTTCTGTCTCCAAACGCACGTTGCCTGTTTTTACTTTGTTTTCCAGAATAACCACCTCTTCTTAATCATACTTAAGGGTCTTAACTCTTTGTATTCCTGGTAATTTGCTTCCCTCTTTTGCTTTTCCTGTCTCTTCAGTTCTATCTTCATTTTTCTTTTATATCTTATACTTTTCCCTGAAGGGCGTCTTGCTCCCTTTTTGGCCACCTTAAATGACTCTCCTTGTGTTAGTTCTCCGGCTCCATTTTTTGCCAGTCCCACCTCCAAGGAAAGTTTTTTAAGTCTCATTTGTTTTCACTTTATTTTCTAGAACGACCTTCTCTTACTTAAGTGTCTTAACTCTTTATATTTCTGGTAATTTGCTCCCATGTTTTGCTTTTCTTGTCTCTTCTGTTCTGTCTTCATTTCCCTTTTATATTTTATACTTTTCCCTGAAGGGTGTCTTGCTCCCTTTTTGGCCACCTTAAACGTCTCTCTTTGCAGTAATTCTTCAGCTCCACTTTTTGCCAGTCCCACTTCCAAGGAAATTTTTTTAAGTCTCACTTCTCCGGATATTGGCCCCATGTCTACAAAAGGCATGTCTTGCATCTCCTTATTTTGGTTGTAGTTTTGTTCTCTCTTTAAATCCTCTGCACTCCACTGAGACTGTAGTGGTTCCTCTTCATTTGTACATTCCAAGCCTGTTTTCTGTAGATTCTCAAAAGCATTTTTACAAGCTTTTTCAACTGCTGACCATACTTCATTGAACAGAAACTTTTTAAATCGTTCCAAAGATAATTGACCAACTTCTGTATTTTCTAAATCCATCTCCTCAATTTGTCCTGCAATTAGTTCCTCTTTCTTCCCTGCCAGTTCCATTTTATTATCTTTTACTCCAAGTCTTTAACTAGCCGTATTCCAAAAGTTTGGAGAATCTCCTATGCAGTTAGCTCAAGGGGTCTTCACCGAGTTATCTAGAAATTATACGCTACTCACGTTCTTGGCTTTGTTGTATATTATGTTGAAAATCCAAAGTTAAAACGGGTGGTTGCAGCTGAGAATATGGTGAACCATGTTGTTCCATTCTTCGCACCCGCGTCGAAACAGCTCAGTCTTGCCCTGTTTACCACTGTTTGCGGGGTGCCTGGTCGAGTTTCTTGCTGCCAGACCTCCCTCCAAGAGGCTTGGTGATCCCCCAATGTGTACTAGGACCCTGGGTGTTCCAAAAAAGTGAAGAAGGATGGGGATAGTCAGGAGCGTCCTGACTAAGCACCCGCACATTGCGCCATGCCTGGAAGCCTCCCAAAAATGTTCTTTGTAGTATTGATATGAGGTTTTATTTTTGATGAGTTGAAAAGGTTATTTCCCCACAGTACATATAGTCTTACACTACAATTCTGATGCTTTTGTTATCAATAGCAAATATATCTTGAACTATGAAAGACATCTGTAATTTTAAAAAGGAAATATATCATTCAAGGAACCTCTCCAAAACAACCCTATTCAGAACCTAAAAATAAATCCAGTATATTGTTATTCAAACTCAAACTGTGTAGTAGGAGGGTGGTAGAGGAAAGCTCTGACTGCATTCTTGACCCTCAAAGATTTCAGATTTTGAAAGAAATACTCTGAGGAAGTGTTCTTGCACCACTGTGCAGTGCTCAGATTTCATGTCCTATCAAAGTGTGGCTGACTGGCAGGCAGTACTTCTGATTGTCCACTGGAGAGCTGATTGGCTGCGTAGATTTAAAAAAATCTGTTTCAGCAGCAGCTGCAACCACACTCTTGATATTATTCTATCTCTTGCTCCTTTCCCCATTGTATTTTAATAATTAGTCCTCTTGTCCCATGTACTTGGGACCCCAGCTATGTGTCTGTAGAAGCTCACATTCAGAAGCAATTGCCTTTGTCATAGGACTCTTGGCTTGGAACTTTCCAATATTTAGTGAAATGTTTCAGAATTTGGTAATTACTCTAAGTCTTACAGCCACCATTTTGTGAATAGCAGCAGCTATTGGGGGAGTAACACCTACTCTCCCCTTTCTCAAAATTCCAAAAATCCCCACAGTCTCAACAAATTTATGGGAGCCCTGGACTAGGCTTTCAATAGCAAATACTTAAGCCATATCAATACCATACTTAACCTGGAGCTCCAGTTGGACATGTTAACCGAATTTAATCTGCTGTTAGCGAAAACTTGGTGGTGGGGCTGGAGTATATATGGAGTTGCATTCTAATGTATTCTATCTGATATGTGAACAAAAAACACACATGAAATACTTACGCCATTCAAATATGTTGGAAGCTAGAATAATTCTGCAACCCTGTTTTTTTTGTTTTGTTTCCATATTAAAATGGGTTTATTCCATCTCTGTCTAGCCAGCCATGCCAAAATCTGAAGCAGTGATTGAGTTACCCACTACAATGCAGAAATATTAGAGAGATACGAAGGATTATATTCTTTAGACAGTGTGTTCTTCAAGTGAACTAAATTATTTTGCTCAAATAGATGGATATAGTAATGGTGACAAATGCAGAAAAAGTTAGTTTGCGGAAAAGGATACTGTGTCTTTTTTAACCAGATCATCATCATACCCTCTTCCCCAAAAGCAATTGAATCCAAGCACCAAAGCAGGCTTCTGCATGCAAATCCTCTTGCAACAGCAAATATATTAATCCCCTGGTGTGAAGCCTACAATCAGCTTCCTTTGCTTATCCAATCACCGAGTTTGAAGATACATCTACTATACCAAAGAATTGATTATCAGTACCACCACTGAGTTTCACAAAACTGGTCATTTGTTGCAGAGATGGGGATCATTGAATCCAAGTAACGTGTCTTCCAGCTCAGTTCATGTAGGACCAGGGTTTTGGCACTAGTGTACCCCACCCTCAAAACTAGTGCTGGGCACTGCTGAAGATGTTAAGCTGTGTACAAATCAGTGTACAAATCAGCCAGCTCACTTCTGCAGATGTCCCAGGTGAGAAACCTGGCCAGTAAGTAAGATTATTTTAAATGGAAGTAAGAGCATAGTAACATTTAGAATCCTGACCACACAGTAACATTTGGAATTTATCTAAATCCTTTGAACTGCTTGGTGGTGGTGCAAAAACAGTAAGATGTAAAAATAAATAAACTGCTTGGTGCCTTAATTATGTGTTCTTGTTTATAGTACTGGAAAGGAGATCTGAGATTTTATGACCTGAAGTTTGATGATGCTGGGATGTATCAATGTGTAGCAGAAAACGTACATGGAATCATCTATTCAAACGCCGAGCTCAAAATTATAGGTTAGTGAAAACATATGTATTGTTTGAAACCACCTCCATTAAATAAATAAAAATTCAATGCACCAGTAGGTTAGTCAAATAAAGCTAAGCCAGCAAGGACTAATATCAGTAGGTGAATTAAAGGCACATTTGTTATCTTTTGAGGCTGTTTGGATTCTGATAGGGAATAGAATCTGTATCAGCCATATGTTATTTTATATTTCAGGTGTTCCAAAATGGCGTTTATATTGATGTTTTGGTACGATGCAATTATATCATTTGATAAATTGATTAAAATGAAGATGATTAACAAAACAATCTCTTCAAACAGTTGGAACAAGCTTGGCACATCAGATCTCCTTGGTTCTGTTGTACATAATATTTAGCATACTAAACAAGGACGTGATACTGTACATATCTCCCTCTATCATTGTTTTCTACCAGTGGGTAAAGACATTTTGTTTTGGTGTTCCCTCGCTAACTCTCATTGGCCCTCCTCCCTGTTCGTGTGTTTATATTTTACTTTATGGTTTTAAATATTTTTATATATTTATCTGTCTTCTAACATTGTTTTGGTTGGTCATCACCAAATAATAATATAAATATCTAATAATATTTGTGTGTTTTTCTCTGCAGTTCTACCTCCTACCTTTGAATTCTATCCCATGAAGAAGAAAGTCTTAGCTGCTAGGGGAGGTCATGCTATAATTGAGTGCAAGCCTAGAGCTGCTCCTAGGCCTAGGATCACATGGAGCAGAGGGACTGAAATTCTTGTAAACTCCACCCGGTCAGTATTACTGGTTAGAGCAGGACTATGCAGTCTGTGTCCCACTGTTCTAAATTTTGTCCAGAGAGGCCTGGTTCCATAGGATAACCCTTATGATAACTTTGGTGTTCAGCAATAGTATTTTCAGATACAATGGGTCACTTCAGTGACTGCTCAGGCCCTGTTATTGAAAGAAGAACCACATCATGGCATAGGAACATGCCATGTTTTTAACCTGGCCTGGCCTTTACTTTACCTACTGCCAAATCTCTTTCTGCCTGTAATATGAGTCACCCTCTGCACACGCCTTCATTTTCCAAGCACATAACATAAAAGCCTCTCCAACCCAATAAATTTCATCTAGAAAAGATTCAGATAGCTTGGGATTTCTAACTACACCCTGAGCTAGCTCCCTAAGACGGTCTAAGGTCCTTTCCACACTAGACCTTAAATCCTGGTTCAGCCCTGTCCCCGAACTTACATTCTACACTACACACGAGTGTCAAGGTTTCTCTCTCTCACCCCAGTCCAGGGATGGGGAGAGAAACCAAGCATTCAGGAACAATTAAACAAACGCCAGGAGAATCTCTGTACACTCTCCAGGCTTTATCGGTAGTCTGCCACCAGGATCTCTCATTAACCAGTCCCACGCCACAGCTCAGGAGCAGAGATCCCAAACTCCTTCTTGCTTTATTGGACTGACCCAGTTTACCAGCTCTGCACCAGGGCTGCAAACAATTAAGTACCACAGTGGTAGCCTCCTTAGGTGAATGGCTTTAGGCACAAGATTCAGTCTTAGAGATCAGGTTGCAACAGAGAAAACAGGTCCAGATAATATTGATTATATATTATCTTTATTCAGTGCACAAGCATGCATATAACATGAGACTAGCAAAACATAAGAAACAAAAGATATCTATAGGCTAGCTTGTTCAGCTCTACCTACACGATAGAGGTAATTCATAGTTACCAGGCTGGTGTGCAAATAGTCCAAGGTCTCACCAGGGAATCTTGAAGAGAAACCCCATGGTTTTGTGGGCAGCTAGTCCAGCTTGGCTGCCTAACAGTCTCACTCCATTATAACAGAAAACAGTCAATCCAAAAGAACTCTTTGTTTCCAGAGAGGAATTCCCTTAATTCTCCTCTAACTCCCTGTTTCCCATGTGGATCATTCCTGATATACCCCCCCCCTCCGTCACCACCAGGTATGGCCATTTACCCAATAGTGAGAGAGTGGGAAGGCGTTCCAATCTCTGGTTACCATGCGTTGTCAGGCAAGGTATGTTTTGATTTGCTAGGAGTTGGGCATCCCACTCCAGCCTCTTCTATTGACCATGTGTCATGTCAGGGAATGCTTTTGATGTACTAATGTACTGGGCATAGCTCTTCCCATGCTTGGGAAGGTGCCAGCAAGTCGCTCTCTCTTGGCAGAGGTGTCAGTGTATATGGAGATGCGGCCTGGCCATCTGGCAAGCTATTTGCACAGGTGAAGGAATCACACGGTAGTGTTACCAGCAAGGATTTTAGAAAAGCCTTTTTCTATACAGTGAGTTCACCCCTGTAATTATAGGGTATTTTTTGTTTCCACATTACAATGAGGTCACCCTGGTTTCACCCCACATTTGTCCCTGGATAAATGGATACTGTTATAACCAGGGATAAATGCAAAGTGTTGTGTCACGAGTTGAACTCTGATAAAACCAGGGATGAGATCCAAGTGCGGAAAGGACCTAAGAGACCAAAAAGCCAACTGCAAAGAGAGAGAACTGAGTAACAACAAGCACTGTGAAATTACTGACACTAGCACTTTATTATGTTTTATGGCTTAAATGGTTTTAGAATTGTTTAATTGTTTAACTGTTGCTGTTAATCTATTTTATGTGTATTGTAAACTTTATGTCATTTTATGTAAGCTGCCCTGAGCCGGCCTCGGCTGGGAGGGCAGGGTAGAAATCAAATCAATCAAATCAATCCCTTGCCCTCATACCCCAATGCTCCCCCCCCCCCCTGGGGTGACCTGCAACCAGTGATCTGCCAAGACCAGCAAGCCCTTAAAAAAAGTCTGGTACCTGTTTTTTACAAAGTGTTGAATGATGGACTGTAGTCTTCAGAGCTATTGCAAGGATGCTGGGGAGACAAACCTAGGTCTAGGGATAGATTATTGTGAAAGGTGCTTTACGTCTGGGCCTGTGAAATCTATCAATGTAAAGTTGAGGAACATTTATGATAAACTTTAAATCACTAAGAGATAGACATCTTGATACATATGTGATGAACATGCCCATTCATATAACTGTTTTTGGACCAGATACATGAAGAAATCAGCAGCAAACAAACACCAAAAATGAAGCACCTTGCTATGTGGGGAATCTTCACAAATTAAGCACAGAACCTCTCTGCTAGAATTTGATTTTAACTCATTGGTATAAACTATGATAATGATAATACCAGTTCATTAAAAATTCCTGTCTAAACTTGGCATTGTGGCACAGTACAGAAAACTTTGACATTACATTGTAATGGATAAAATTATCCATAAAAGGAAAACAGTGAAGGATCAGGCTAGGATGGAATCATTTTATGAAAGATGGTGTGGAGTAGTGGTTAGAGTGGTGGACTAGGATCTGAGACAACTGGGTCTGAAATCCCAGTTTGTCTCCTGTTTTACTGGCTTACAGTGCCTTTTACAGAGGACTAGTTCTGCCTCAGAAAGCTGTAGAGTACTACTTTTTAACCCAATGCAGGTTTTCCATGTGATCTATTTTATTTTTAAGTAAATCCAACTTTTACTATGTTAGCCACCTTACAATTGATGTATGGGTAAAGGGAATTTCCCCAAACACTCATCCCCCCCCCCTTCAAAGGCAGTTCTGTCTGGTGTGTGCCATGTTCTCTAAAAAATAGTAAATTAATATATTTATTTACTTATTAAAATATTTATATCCTGTCTTTATTCATGGTACAAGGTGGCATACTAGTCATGAATTAAAACATTACAGTTTAAAAGCAACAAAACAAATACCCGAACAATGTCCCCCTCTATGGTTACTTATCCCCTGGTGGGAGTGGGGATTCATCAAGCTGGTGGCATAATATCACTTCCAAGAAAAGAAAAAAACAGAGTGAAGTCATGTTTCTCTAGGTATTGCCTCTCTATGAAACAATAGCGTTCCTGATGATTCCTAGAGAGGCACAATGTCACTTCTGGACTCTTTCCATAAATACTGTCATGCCATATCACCACTGACCATCCCCCCACCCTATCCCTGGTCTCCCACTCATTGCCGGGCCAGGTAGTGGAAGCATCCCATTGGTAGTGAAATAAGGTAGATCCCATGCAAACATAATATGGGGAAATTTCACATTAGCCTTTTAAAACTGTTATTGTACCGTCTTGGAATAAACCGGTACAGGGATGGCCATTTCACACAGCCTTTCCCCTACCAGTAAGGAGTTGTCTCTGAAGCGGTTTGTCATTTCAGACTACACCACTTTGTTTTCCCGCCCTTTTTTTGCCCGTGACGATGATCTCTGTCTTTTTTTTAAAAATGTTCTTTTAAGAGTGCTGTGGCACAGTAACACAACCCCAAAACAGCACAATAGCGACCCCATTGGGATGCCTGGACCACTGAGATATATGAGATCACTACATCTGCCACCTGGAAACAAGTGGAAGCTCAGGCACGCACAAACACACACTTCTGGATTTCTGGAACATTAGGAAGGGAGGAAGGGTTGCTGTCTGGGTTTGTAAACTGTCCTATTTCCTCCACCACCCGTTTGCTGTGACTGCACTCTCTTTCAGGCTGCCTGGAATTTAAAAATCTCTTCCTTTAACTTTTCTCCTTCCGGCACCTTAAATCAAACTGCTTCCCCCCACCCCATGCAGTATTTAGGGACAGGACAACAGGCTGCCTTTTCATTCCCCTCTTTCCTAGCCTCTGTTTTACAAGTAGCTATCTTGCCCAAGGAGAATTCCAGGAACTCAAAACCTGTGGCAGGATTTTAAAATCCCCCCTCCCGCTTTTCCAAGCCACACTAGCTCCTTCCAGCCTTGCAAACAGCATCCTCCTCTTGATGGCCAGCATATAGGGATGCCATGCCTCCAGGTGGGACCTGGGGATCCCCTGCACTTACAGCCAGTGTTCCCTCTAAGCTGAGTTAGTGTGAGATAGCTCACAGTTTTTTTAGCCTCTGGCTCACATGTTTTTGTCTTAGCTCAGGAAGAATGGCTCCAGAGCAAACTAATTGATGCAGTAGCCAAATCGCTCACTCACAACTTTAATGCCAGTATCTCACAGAGTAGAATTTTTGCGCACAAGATTCCACAGCTTAGAGGGAGCATTGCAGGGTTACAGCTTTTCTCCTGTCTACAGATATCAGTTCCCAGGCATAAAGTGAATGCTGTGGAAGGAGGAGTCCATGGCATTGTTCTCCATTGAAATCACTGTTCTCCCCAGATGTAGTGATCTCATGTATCTCAGTGGTCCAGGCATGCCAATGGGGTTGGTATGGCGCTGCTTTGGGGTTGTGTTACAGCGCCGTAGCACTCTCAAAAGAATGCTAAAAAAAGATGGAGATTGCCTGTAAGGGTGAAAAAGGAAGGGAAAACTTCATCACTGGAGAAGGCGCTATGGGGCATTTTACACAGCACCCCGTAGCGCTTCAGGAATGGTAGAAGAAATTGAAGACCGCTTGGAAGCAGTTTGAGGTAAAAACGGCTTAACACTTTTTAACATTTGCCTTACAAAGCTAACTGTAACAGATCATCCATATTTCTCTTACTGACTTAATTAAATTTGCTTTCAAAACTGGATCCTTGTTAGAAATATCCACTGTTGCCAAGGAATTAGGGAACCAGAGACCCTAATTTTGCAGCTCAATGCCACTAAGATGTAAGAACTCACACTTCATAATTTATTTAACTAGACTTAGAAGAAGAAGAGGAAGAGATTGGATTTATACTCCACCCTTCACTTGGAGTCTCAGAGTGGTTTACAATCTCCTTTCCCTTCCTCTTCCCACAACAGACACCCTGTGAGGAAGGTGGAGCTGAGAGAGCTCTGAGAGAACTGCTCTTGAGGGAACAGCTCTCAGAGAACTGTGGCTTGCCCAAGGTCACCCAGCAGCTGCATGTGGAGGAGTGGGGAATCAAACCCAGTTCTCCCAGATGCTCCTAAGCACTACACCAAACTGGCTGTTAGAATGGTGTAATTCTCTTTGGGGCTGCACTGTCAGCCTCCCGGGTATCTTGGCAGCAATCCAGGTATAGTTAGAAGAAATCAGCAGTACATAAGTGTTAAAAATCAGTCTGGGATGCTGCTTCAGGGTCTCCACTCCAGCATTTCTACTGTGCCCCCCACCTTTCCAGGATGAATTCTGGGAATAGGATGCTGGTGGAAGGGAGAGAAGTCTGGTAGGAATATGCCAGCATCATAATGACCAATTACAAATAGCACCCCGAGTTCAAGACGTTTGGGTCTTGGTTCATAATTATTTACTATTTTTCAATGCTGAAAGTATTTGTTTCTTAACAGTTTTATTGTATAGCTGTAATAAAGCATTTTTAAGGGATACTATGTCTCTGTTGGACTGGCATTGTTTCTTCTGAAATGATTTTTCCAATAATTTTTCTTTCAATAGGATGCGTATTTGGTACGATGGAAGTCTGGAAATTATTAATGTCACAAGGGCTGACGCAGGCAACTATACATGTTTTGTAGAAAACAACAAAGGAAAAGCTAATGGTTCTTCTACTCTTGTAATTACAGGTAATTAGTTCATTGTAATAGAGGTTAAACTCACAAAACATGCTGAAGGCATCACAAAAGCCTTCAGCATGTTTTGTGAATTTAGCCTCTATTAGTTGATGTTAGTGTAATGTTGAATGTCCCCAAATCATGCTCCAATCAGCTCAACATAGGGTTGCCAAGTGAATATTTCTTACCGGCGGGGAGCCTCGCCGGGCTCCGGGAGATGTCTGTCTATGCGTGCTCGCGCGCACTTTGTGCACGTGCACCGCCAGCACGTCGCCGGAAGTGATGCACGACATCGATCACGTTGAAGGCGTGGCCCCGATCGTCGGAGGGAAAACCATAGAGTTTTCCCTCCAACGATCAGGGCCACGCCCCCAACGTGATTGACGTGGTTGCGTCACCTCTGGTGATGCAGCCACGCTGCGCTTCGGGGGGCAGAGTTCCCCCCGGGCCCGATTCCGCGGCAGCGGAAATCGGGCCTCCGAAGCGGGGGTTTACCTGCCCCCCGCCCCCACTTGGCAGCCCTAGCTCAACATTAGAATTTATGGGTCAGTTTTACGATACATTAATTCTACATGTTTTGAGCAATATAGCTGCTTTGTATGGGACAAGTAGCTGCTGTTTCTTCAGGAAAACAAAAAGAGAATTCAAACACTTTCTAACCATCAAACCACCCTTTTATTTGGTGTCCCATAAAAATGGGAACTTCCTCGGACTTATGGTATGGAAGTAATAACAGACATGTGCATTCATTTGAAGATGAATAAAAACAAACTGGAAAAGCCCTATTAATTTTATTAGTGTAAGGAAAATGAATGAAAAGATCAACGGATGAGAGTTCTTCCCCAAATGAATGACCATTCAGAATGACTAGCTGGCTTTCTCCTGTCACTCTTCCTCACTCTCTGCTCCCATCCGACTCACAGACTGTGCTGTGAGGCCAGGCTTGTAGGGGGTGTCTGGAAGGACAATTGGTCATCCAATGGGAGGCAGGAGGCAGGAACAGAATTTCTCTTTTGAAATGCTGAAAACATCTTGGGTAAGGTTTTTATTTTCTTTATGTATATGGGAATGCAGATATGGAATCTTAGTTATTGTGAACATACTGTTTTTGTTGCTATACATCGTTCTACTTTTTCTTTTAACTTTACAGATTCTACAAGGATTACTTTAGCACCAACTAATGTTGATGTAACTGTTGGATACAATGCTACCATGCAGTGTCTTGCAGAACATGATCCCACTTTGGACCTGACTTTTATTTGGACGCTCAATGGATACCCAATAGACGTTGACAGAGAGAGCGATCATTATGAAAGGAGCATCATGGTAAGACTTTTCTCTGATGCATTGGGTGTCAAGAAGACTTAAAAAAATCCTCTTAACTTTCTGATTCCTTGGGAACAAATAATCTTACAGTGGAAAAATCCTGTGTTGCTAAACTTTTTTTCATATTAGCAGTTTCTTCTGAATGAAGATAATTTGCTGCCTTGGTAAATCTTCATGTTTGAATGCCTGGTAGAAACCATACGGTTCATGGATAATTACAGAATTCAGACATTAAATTTATTTCAAGAGTCTCCTACTATTTATTACTTTCCCTTTTCTGGCTACGTCTGCAACAGTGTATTTCAGATTAATAATATATTCAGCCAGAGTCTATTTCTAGGTGCTCCTGCCTCCCTTCAAGGTGCTTTGGATAAAAGCACTGTATTTCCATCATTTCAGATTCTTCTACAATTATACACAATAAAAAATCTTCTTATAGCCTCATCAGATAGTACATCTTTAGATCATTACAGTTCCACAGGGCATGCAAAACAGAGCTCTTCCACCAGTCCTTTGATTAGGAGTGGCTTCTAACAACCGAATTCTGGTAAGGCCCTCTATACTATCACCAGCAGCCTGCGACAGTTTCTATAAATGGTCTGATAAGCTGGTTACCAACTCTGACTATACTCTTTTGTGACCATTCCACCGTGGCCTACTGGGATTTCTATGTGACATTATACCGTGACCAGCACTTTATTTTGTTATTGTATATGATTTTTATGATGTTTATAATTTGTGTTTTACTGTATTTTAACTCTTAATGTAAGCCACCCTGAGCCTGCCTTGGCAGGGAGGGTGGGATAGAAATGGAATTAAATAAATAAATAAATAAATGTGCAGTGTTAGACAAGAACAGGAGTCTTTAGGGGCCGGAGCGTGCTGGAGCACCACTCTGGGAGCCCAGGAGCTGGCGAAATGGCAGCGGCAGCGAGCCCCAAACTCCCTGCGCTGTGGCCCATTGCTGCTTTGCCAGGGCCCACGCCGGAGCGCTGCGGCCCCAGGGAGGCCTGAGGATGCCCGTCACCTCCTTCCCGGGGCCCATGCCGGAGTGCTGCGGCCCCAGGGAGGCCCGAGGAGGCCTGTTGCCACCTTCCTGGGGCCCACGCCGGAGTGCTGCAGCCCCAGGGAGGCCCGTCGCCACCTTCCCGAGGCCTGCACCAGAGCGCTGTGGCCCCAGGGAGGCCCGAGGAGGCCTGTTGCTGCCTTCTTGGGGCCTGTGCCAGAGCGCTGCAGCCCCATGGAGGCTCGTCGCGCCTTTTCGGGGCCCACGCTGGAGTGCTGCGGCCCCGGGGAGGCTGGAGGAAGCCCATTGCTGCCTACCTGGGCCAGCGCCGGAGCGCTGCGGCCCAGAGGAGGCCGGAGGATGCCTATCATTGCCTCCCTGGGCCCGCGCTGGAGCGCTGCGGCCCCATGGAGGCCCAAGGAGGCCCATCACTGCCTCCCTGGGCCAGCGCCAGAGCGCTGCGGCCCGCGGGAGACCAGAAGATGCTCCACACCACCTCCCCGGGCCAGCTAATGAGCTATTATGCTAATAGTCTAGTAGCTCATTAGCATACCGTATGCTAATGAGCTCCTGCAGCTCTTTTTCTATTAAAAGACCCCTGGACAAGAATATTACATACCCTTGTAAGTCTACTTTGCATCAGGCATGAAAGCAGGGAAATGATGCTCCAATAGATCTTTTGTACATATAGTTTAACTCATATATCAGGAGTGGCCAAACTGCAGCTCAGGAGCCACATGTGGCTCTTTCACACAGTCTAATTTAATGTTAATAAAAAGCAAATTTGCATATTTTTCAACAAAAATGTGTGCGTTCATGTCTTGTGGCTCTCAAACATCTGACATTTATTCTATGTGGCTGTTAGGTTAAGCAAGTTTGGCCACCCATGCCATATATGCTTGGACCCCACAGTCAATGGTCGGTATGCATGTGGGCCCTGTTTGAACATTATGCTCCTTTGTGGACACCTGGTGGCTTCAAAGAAGGGGCAGATACTCCGATTGAGTTGTGTGGTGTGGTATGGTACGTGTGTGGGCCCTATTTGAACATTATGTTCCTATCTGGACAACTAATGGCTTCAAAGATAAGGCAGATGCTTGGGTTGAGTTGGATGTTAAGGAGCAGATTCTTGCTCTCCATTCTTCTCTTAGCAGAGCAATCGGCTATAAATATTGCCTAACCCAAACACATAATATTTCATTTCTTCTGCAGAAGTGGACTAGTAGAATGCACATCTATTTAAGTGGATTCATAGCTCATGTAGATTATTGTGCAGCAACTGAAAGGACTGAATTGTGCCAGGGGCAACAGCATGAATCTTTGACTGCTCATGGTCAGGCTTAAGCTCCAGCACCAATTTTCATTATCAAGATCAAGACATCTTAAAAAGTAACTTTTTACAAAATCTGATTCTCCCTATGTTTGTGAACATATAGTTAAGCCTTCAAAAATCTAGATTACATATATACAAATACTGATAGTGCATTCTCTCATTCTGTTCTTGGCTGGTTATTTTAAGAATTTTTTTCCTTTGGAATTTTATCTACAAGATGTAACAGTAGGACCATCCATTCAAATCATGCTGTGATTTAAACGGAGCTCTACTAATTAACACCTGAAAATAAGATTGGACATGTTTATACAGTAACTAGCCTGATACCCGTACTTCGCTACGGTATTTAAGTTCTGTAAATCCAGTTATAAAACTGATGATGTGAAGTTTGAAATGTAACATTTGTTGTAGGAATTCTAATGGAGAAGATTGTAGTATAAATATGAAGTGAGACATACATACTTGTATTTTTTTCTGTACTGAAGGACCTCTCTGTAGACCACATTGGTGGTTATGCCCTCAAGTGCTAGGATCACCAGGCTGCTTGGTGAGCTCCCTCTGAAGCAGGCAACATTTAAGAAGCAGTCGTCTGTTAAGTCAACTCCTGAGGTTTTACCTCAGAACTCTGAGCTACACAGTTAACCAATCGGGAAGGGGGGGGGGGAGCAGCAGCCTGCCAGGTACATGGAAAAGCAATTGGGGGAACTCGTTTTGCCCTTTTACCCCCTTAGGGGTCATGTTTCTCAGACATTTCTTTGTGGAGGGGTTGACATCATGGAAGGAATGCACTCCCCTTATTTTGGGTTTCTTGGTGCAGGGGTTTGGCTTAGGCGTTGAATTGGGGGGGAAGGCATACCCCCCCCTTTTTTTTTTACAAAATTGCTTCTCATTTATGTTACATTTAAGAAGTGGGACATAACTACGTATTCAAAACACCGTCCAAGCAATCAGATATTAAGCAAGTTCATATGAACCAATTTTCTAGAACCCACATTGTGGGAAGTTAAATAACCTAATAAAGGAAACCAGTTTTCTACAATTTTGGGGTATATTTCCATTGTGGGTGGGAGTGTGGCTAAGCTGGGCCAGCAGCACTGCTAAGGTGCTCCTGCTGGGGCAGCGTCCCTGATGAATTAAAGTACCCTGGCCCTGCTCCTACACCTGACAGACCTGTAAGCCTACACCTGACAGGCAGCTGCCTGTCCAGTGTAGGAGGGGGAGGAGTATTAGAAGCCACTGTGGAGGCGGGGCCAGCAGGATCACTAAGGCGTTACTGCTGGGGCAGGCTCTCTCATGGCTTTAAGCACCCTGCAACTGCTGCTGCACCTGACAGACAACCACCTGTTAGGTGCAAGAGGTGTGGGGAGTGTGTTGGAAGTCATCAGAGAGGCTGGGCCAGCAGCTTTGCTTTACCTCACAAGTGGTTGTCCACTCCTGATTTCCTCAACTGTCATTAGCTCCCTGCAGTCCCCTGTAACTGTTGGGGTTTTTTAACCTCAGAACACTGAGCTCTGCAGCTGACCAATCAGAGAGTGGGGGGTGCAGGGAGGCAGCTGCTTGGCAGCCACATAGGAATCAATGGGGGGAGGACATTTTCCCCCTTTTGACCCACTTAGGGGTCGAATTTCTAAAATTCCCTTCTTAGCAAGCACCTAAGCCACGGTAGGAGCACTCTCCCTGAATTTGGTGTCTCTAGGTCCAGCGGTTTGGCCTGGGCGTTGATTTTACGGTGAGGGGACTTTCTTTTATATATATAGATATAGAATACTTCATAAAAACTGAAATGCAAAAATAAAAAACACAGGCAACGTAGTCTCAGTCTGTAAGGTGGTATGGAAAAATAATTAAAACATAGATCAATATATCTGTGCTCCTGTGTTTACTGGGCTCTGGTCCAGAAATCATTGTACATAACAGTGGGTTGCATGAGTGTATAATTTAATAATAATAAGGAAAATATTTGATATTTTTTCCTGTGTGAGTTTGGATTATGAAATACACATTTATGGTACAATAAAACACATATATCCATAGCATGTGAATTTGTTGTACCAGTAGTTATCATCTTTTGGGGGCCATCTTTTTGCTCCCCAAAGAAACAGATAACTGAAGCTGCTGTACCTGAAATGTCCAAACATCTAGACAGCAAGGGGCATCCTGTGGTCAGCTCAAATTACTGTATGTGAGCCCATTCTCACAACACTTTTTTGCATTCATGACATACAAGATCTAGACAGTTCTTCCATGCAAGATTGCGGCATGAAAATAAAATGACACACTCAAGCTTGTCATTGAGAGAGGGTTGAACTTCAATGACTTCCATTGCTGTATTAGTCTTCTAGCAGTACTTTTACAATATGAACTGAAATGTCTTCAGAGTACTTAAATTGCATATTATATATCCCTAAAAAGTCATTTTGCAGTTGTTTCAGCACCTAACAGAAACAATAATGGAAGAAATTGGATCTATAGCATCAAAATTATTGATATTTATCCTGTACAACTCCTGATTGCACTGTATCCCATTTCTCCTTTAAAAACTGAAAAGAATTCTCACTGGACAATCAAACCATTCCTTAAAAAGTCAAGTTAGCATTCTCACAGAAATGAGAAATGTGGAAAATGTTGTTCTTGCTGAGAAACTAAAATAAAAAGTCGTAT